TGATCAATTTACAAAGAAGTCCAGAGCATTAAAAAAAGCTATTGGGGCTGCTAAGCGCCTTGTAGGATGTTAAAAACAAAGGGTAGCCTACAAACTGAGAGACAAACAACAAATACACATGCAAACTCTGATACTCTGATCGAGATCTAACCAGAAGATGGAACAGCACACTATGTGATAATTATACAACTTCAACACTTCCTTCACCTGTGAAGAGGCTGTTGAAGTTTATCTAAAGTGCTGCCTTCAAATCAGTTGGTGTGCTGGCTTTCCACCACATTGCTGAAGAAAAGCTGCTGAGGGGGGTGTATTTTCTCAGACAGGATCTTTCCTCCGCTCTGAAGCCAAGGTAGAAAAAAAAACCGAATTTCTCTGTTCTTTTTCTATTTCACGTGCATGCTAAAAAGCCTAAAAAACCTAGACTGTAGAAGGGAGGAGTCTCAGTAGCAACATGGCGCTCTCACAGACCAAGCAGATCACCCCTACCACTTATTTGACTTACTGCTTGTCTTCAGAAGCAGTGGTGCAGAAGAGAGTAGAGAAAAGAGAAAAGAAACACAAGGCCCAAAAGTTTGTGGTTTTGAGAACAACTAAAGACGACTGGTTCTATACAGACTTTCAAAAAACCTACATATTTTTTTACATGTGATTTATAACATATATAGGCCTACATGTTTTGTCCCACTGTTCGAAAAAGAGTATAATACAACATAAGCCTGCAGACCTGCAAGCAATGTAGAAGGTTACCTACTACCAGCTCTGTCCGGCTGTCACCTGGACTTGTGGAAACACTGACATTACTTCGAGTAATTTTGCACTCTATTTTTGCTTCTTTTTTCTGGGCTCTACTTAAATCATTGTTTCATTTATTAAACCTAAGTAATATTGACTACATTTATCTGTCCTGAGCTACTACTGAAAGTTTATGTATTTAAATATTGGATCAGTCAGCGTGACACTGAAGTGACTATACAGCAAAGATGAGAAAGTGATTCTTGACCAAGTCCCATTAAGCATACTAGTACTTACAGATAAAAATCTACACAATTTCATTAGATCATGCTGGGTGGGTGTGAAACATACAACTATATGAAGTAAGCTGATGTATTCTTCCCTTTATAGCACTCTTTTAGGCATGCTTCTCTTCAACTGTTTTCCTTCTTGACCTAAAATATTCTTCAGTCACATTGCTCTATTACTTATCTCAACAGCATGTCCTGGCTTTCTAATCACATACCAAGCGGCTGATCTTGACGTGTCAGATGTTTTGTCTTTGTGTCTGGTTAAGTTTGAATTTTTCTGATTTTTCAAAATCACAACACAACTTCAGTCATCACGGTGAAAGACAACAGCAATAAACTTTAGATGGAAACGCCAGGTCCAGAACATAAACTTTTTTAGCTATTTTATGCAGGAACTACCAGCTCAAGCAACAACTGAGCTGGCCAAAAGCCTACGGTTCCCTGAAACAGAGGACAAGGAATAAATGGCTCGATTCCTACATGGTTCACTCATAATATACATAAACATGCTCAAATTAAAGCTAAAATTCTGCTCTTTAACCTTAAAAATTAAATTTGTCCAATTACTTATGGGCTGCAATGCACTTTCCTCTTCAGTATGAAATTCAGCATATTTTCACTTAGGTTTCAGGAAGGACTTTTTTAAATTTGTTATTTTTTGATTTAAAAATAAGTCTAAATAATAACATTTAGCTTCAGTTTTAGTATTAAAAGTTATGCTAAAGTAACTTGCTTTGCAGCCAATTAAATGACAAACATTTGGTAGGCCAAAAACTTTCTTCAAAATTACAAATTTATTATACTTTTTCATTATCTTATTTCTTATTTACTAAAATAAAAACGTACTTTCAATGGAAATTATTATCTCCTTTGTTTCTGCTCATCACTAGGAGTGGCCAATATGGCAAAAAATGTAACAATCACAATACCTGAAGACATTGTTATGATACAGATCTCAATATTTCTTTTTTTTATTTTTTTTTTTTAGGTCTGGTAAGCTGGAACAGAACGGAAAAACACCAATGGTGCCACATTTAAACAATACTATTTGAGATCATGTGTACAGAAAGTGAGTGTCCATACTGCAGTGGATTTCATTCCAGTTAAACAGGACTAATTATGGTCTTTCTGTAATGAAATATGCAGTTGGTCAGTATTCTTTAAGTACTGGCGACATCCACAATATGCTCAAAAAAAAGCACAGTGTGATGTTTTTTATCATTACTTTGATAAAATACTGTCATATTGCCCACTCTTACTAAACACACTATTTAAATGTGTAATTTTTAAAGCACTCCTTAGAAGCAAGTAGGGCTGGATGACACCGGAAAAAGTTGCACTGTGATATTTTAGATTTTTGTAACAAATATTAAGACACAAAAATGTACATACATTTATAAATTACCCAGATAAATTATTTACAAATGGAGCTTATTATATTTTTAAGAGCAATTAACGCAGTTCAACATCCAGGTTAGGGCTGCATGATAGACAAAATATCATACCATACCATAAATTCCGCTTTCAATATACTTTCTAGTTTATTAAAAACACATTACTGAATCCATGAAGTGACATGAATAAGGATTAGCCTCGTTTCCGATGACTTGTTGGTTGGATCATGTGAAAGCCCTGATTCATCCCAACAGCCAAAGAACATCTGTGATTATTCAGGACGCCCACAGCTCACTATAAAACCTTCTGTGATAGTTCAGAGGCTCGTTTGCATTATGCACACTTCTGCAATATCAGTTTAGCAAAGGCCAAAGTCATGATAACAGCAAGGAACAATCTACAATGCAGCCCTAGTAGTGAATATTGCTTTGATTATTACAGTTTACAAATCAATAAGCAACAAAAACACAGTTGCATTGTGTGTGCAGACACACTGATCACACCATGAAGCTAAGTTATTTCTCAGGAAAATAAATACAGCTGGCAGGGTGTCAGTGAAGGAACAACGAGGGTGGTAAGACCCACCTTTTACAAACTTTGCAAACCGCAAGAGAGAGCTTGTACTAACATTGCTCATATGAAATATTACGTTTTCTAACACTACAATTCAATTTTAACACTCTTTTAAGGTAAACATGTACAACTGTATTATTGCATCTACTCATAAAATAGTATACCTTGAAAATAAGCACTATAAAAAGTATAAGTACAACCCTTTTAGGCTTCATCATCTTATCTTTCGTTTGTGCAGTTACAAACACAAAGAATCTGTGACCACAGACAGACTGCATGACGTTAATTTAAATTAGAAAAGAGAAATGATGACAGGTTGCTTCTTTCAAATTGTAACAACTTGCAGTGTTGAAAGCCAAATCAAGCCATCATCTACATATATCACTAACTCCACTAGAAATTAGAGAGAAATGAACAAGAAAGAATGGGAACGAACAGTGAAAGCCAACCTATTTTGAGTTGCCTTTAAGCAAGCCTGCTATCTATCAGGGATTGTCCCTGGCAGAGCACTTCCTCTTTCTCCCTATTTGCATTGAACATGGCTCTTTGTCCACTAATACAGGGCCAGTGTCGCAAACAGAAGGTGTGGGGAAGATAGGATCTCACAGCACTATAAAATCCATCAGGGTTAAGCAGCTGATCTATGACATTTGCCTCCTAACACAGGCACTTTGCTGTGTTTGAATGTAAAAGAGGCATCCTTAACGGTTAACGACACAAGAAGCTTTTCACATGATTCAAGACTTGACAAACACGGTTTCACAACTGATGACTGCTTCTGCTTTTAGATCGACCTCCCACATACTGGACTTCAAGTCAGTAAGGGTTTTCTCATGACCAAGACCCATTTCTAAAAACAATGACCAACAAAAGCCACAGTGCACAGTCACACGTATCATAACCATTCGCATAGCTAGACTGTTTTTCACTTTTTCTACTATAACTGACATTCTGCATAAAGATCTACTGTATGTAGCCTGTAAAAGTGCGCATTAAGCCACAGTAAAGATGCAAAAAGGTTGCACTGGTTGTGATTGAGCCATTCACTCTTTCCTCACGTTTTCTCAAACATATTAAAAAATGGTTTGGCAGAAAAATTTGCACAGCTTTCCACTTATCCTAAATGTACTCCATCAGCCAAGACATGTTTGCTGCCCAACTTTTTTTAGTTTTGCGCTGGAGCTACAAGGACAACACTGCTGACACTAGAAATCGGTAGTCACTCAAATCTGCAAATACATCATCACAACTTCTCTCAATTCACTCAATCTGCATCCAGGTCTTCATTAAGGTTGCGCAAACCTTAAGGTGCTTTGAAGCACAGTATAACTTACTGGGAACAATCAAACTGAACAAAACTTCACTAAGTAGCTAAATCCAGTGGGCAGCCATTTTAAACGGCAGCTGCTGTGCCAAATTCAGGCCCCTTTAGCATGCACGCATGACACATAGGCAAAAGGACATCACAGTTTCCTCTACGTAAGTAACTTAACCTCAAATATTTAATCTGAAGATATCTGCATGATATGCGTGAACATACAGGAGAGTCAGATTCTGCAGAAGGGGTCAGAAATAGCCACAACACCTTTTCTGCGTACGCAGAGAAGTTTTTGCGATGTATTTATGGAAAAGATTTGTGTGATCATTGATTCCTAGTGTCTTGGCTAATCGACTACATCAGGGGAAATTGTACATTTGATTTTTCGCAGCATCGTTTCTTTGAGAAAGTAGACATGCATGATGGTAAATGTGTAGCAACTCAACACAACTGCAATGATGTAAGAAGACTGAAAAACACAATTGTATAAAACATTGTATAATGATTCGCCATGACTGAACTAAAGCAAAGCATTTACTAAAGCCTTCTTGGTGCCATTATGGCTTGCACTGGTAGTCCTGAGTGAAAGCATCCACAGGTTTGGCACTAAACCTCAGGACCCTTTCACCCCTGGGGTATTACTGTTGCTCATGTTAGAATTCAGTAAAAATCAGACCATAAAATGGACTCACCTTGGCTGAGAGTTCTCCTCATACATGCGTTCTTTGCCTTCCTTGAACAAGCTGATGGTCTGCTTGGTCTTCTTCGTCAAGTTCTCCATGAAGACACGGAAATATTCGTTGTCGCCCAGGGTCTCCATCTTGCCCTCATAGCGGGAAAGGATGGTACGAAGATGCTGATAGGTGTCAGGAAGCAGGTCTAAGATGTATGGGGGGCTGTTCTTGAGTGCCAGCTTGGGGTTCTGACATAATCGCACCACCTAAATAGAGGATAATAAAACCAGCAAGTTAAACCAATATAAAAGACAGGAAGACAAATCATTCATATGATTTAATTTTGATGATGAAATTACTTTGATTTTAAATAGTTTCTATCCGTACAGGTGGGTTCACCATTCCAGTTGTTTTTAAACTTTATGCATGAAGGTACAGCAGGCAACTGGTTCCACTACATAGACCCGTTAAACGACGAAGTATGCGGCTAAAAATAGTGTTCAGGCAGTCACCTTTTAGATCTGTACGTTTCTGTTTTATAATGGTTATTTTGATGGGTTGTGTCTGATTTCAGACTTTCGATTATTAATTCTGAAATAAGAAAAAAAACATGGTTGATGCACTGGTTCTGTATGTTTAAGACAACTTCAAACTTAGACTTGACAAATGGATGAAATGGAATAACTGTATGAAACTGAATTAATACACCACAAATGGCAGTTAGACAATAAAAAAATCTGGACGGTTTAAGAGTTTGAAATGAGTGCTATATGCAATAATCATGTCACAAATGTTCTATAAAATGACCCTATGTGTGAAGAGGACACCACTGTCATGCAATTTGCTCACAGATTTTAATGTGTAGCCATGAACACCCCCGATCAACTACACTAAACACTTTAGCTGGCGAGTCTAAAAGGGGAACCGCACAGACCGGAAAACAGAAGTGACACCACGACCTGACCTACCCTTCAGCAAAGAGCTCTGTCTGTGAAGCTCAACCACGGTTGTACTAATGCACACAATTTACACAAGACTCCTGTTCACAAAATGGAATCCTGACATGACAACCTTTCACTTTTGTTTTAAAGCACAGTTAAGCATTAAGCAGCTGCTATAACTCCTCTTCTTTTTAAAAAGAACACATGCAACCAGAGGATTATGATAACTTCTAAGTGTGCAGTTTAACTATGGGGCAGACTACAGCATTAAAAAAAAAAAACTGCCGTCGACTTCCAGAGGACACAGAACATAAAGACAGTCCCAGTCTACAAACAGACTGCCTAAAATCTAACATAAAAACAAAGCATTTAAAAGCCATTCTGAATTGTCTGAAAACGGCATCACTTTTACTCCTTACTAAGAATTAAGATGTCTCACTGCTAAGCAGGGCTGTCCCGTAAGATCTAGTGGTTTCACATACTGTCAACACTCAGTCTATTTTAAGGTTGTGAATATAAAGATCATACCCACATCCTTGTTAAGACTTTTCTTCTGGTTAGTTATCAGTACAAAATATGTTCCTCTCAACGTCTAATAAGGACAAAGGTTTTAAGAAAGCACGTAACGGCAGGGCTGTGCATGAATTTTTTGAGGATTTAGCACTGCTGCTAGTAAAGCTGCAAGTGAAGTAGTAAATTAAAATAGTGCAGTACTGAAATAAATTTCTCCTAAAAAAGTATTAATCTCAATTAGTGGAACAGCATTACAAAATACAGAAGCAGCAAATACAAAGATTTGAGTCTGGAAAGATCTAGTGACAAAAATCCAATTAATTTTGTGAAAAACAGAATTAATTTTCTCCACAATTATGCAGATTCCTCATAATGGCTGATACTTCAAGTGCTGTTGTGTGTAATTAAAAGAGACTAAACCCACACTGAAATATCTTTGCACATGGTTGCCGTCACAGAATTCAACCCTGGAAATAAAACAATGTGTTACTTTGAAAGAAAGGCTTGATGTTATTTAATACGAGAGCCGTAAATCAGTTATTAATTAAAAGATGAAAATAAGCTAAAGACAGCACTGCAGAGGGTGCCTCAGCTTTCAAATCCATAAACTTTGCAATGACTTTGGGATTTTGTTCCAGCAGGCCAATAAAAAAAATAAAACAAAAATCATAGCTGGCTTTGCATATGACGATATTACAGCTCCAAACTGTAACGTATTCATTGTATAGATTTTAAATTACCTGATATACTACAACTCCAACAAACACTAGAACTTGACTACACAGCATGACTATGCCAAAGACATGGCTTGAGCAGCTGCACATTCATGTAGTGAGAACAGCCACAAATGATAAATGACTACAGTTACCAAGAGCACTATGGACAGTGATATGTACACAATAAAGTTAATCTGCATGCTTCACACAGAATTACGTTCTTCTGGCACGTGACAATACTGCACTATACAGGCCTGATTAGGAAATATGTTCACAGTAAATCTCTTCTCTGGTCTTGAGAAAACCAGCTTCTACCCTTGAATGCGTACCAGATTTGAGTATTTGTAGGTAATCTGCTGAGAGTGGGCGTCTATAACACACTGAAGACCGAATATGCTTTCTGCAAGCAGCATGCTACAAGCATGAACTACCACAGCTTACATTTGTCCATTTAGAACAACTAACCCCAAGTTATAAACCAAACTCCGGTCGCTTTTAATGTTTAGCCCTCACAGTGCCATTTGCTTAAGCATACTGGCTCTCTCTCATCTATTGTCTGCACAGGAGCTAAGCATAGTCACCTTCTGAACTATTGATCAGAAGACGTGGGTGGGAAATTTGAGGAAACTGGTATCTGCTCAAATGTCACAGGCCCAGCACTCTGAGAAGCGCTACACTGTGAGACTGTGGCTGTCAGGAGGAAGCTGCTGGTGCCTGCAGCTGCTCAGTGGGGCCTTTGACTGCTCCTTATCTGAGCGGGGTAAGGAGCCGAGGAACCTTCGTCTTCAGCCCAGTACCAGCTGTGATTGGGGGGGTGGGGAACAAATGATGTCATCATGAGGTCACAGTAGACCACTTTTCTCATGCTCATCCTGCTTCTAATTCGTAGACCCAAAACATCAGTTACTGCAGCCCTGACAAGCTGGAGATAAGAGTCCGCTGTCATGGACGTCCTCAGAATTATCAGGAAGCGTACAGCTACATAGAGACGCAGACACACTATCTCCCTCATGCATAGATGCATGCATGCGCACTCGCACTGTGGCCTTCAGGCACTGGCTGGAAGTGGAAGCATTAAGGCTTTTTCGCCCTACAGTCTCTTCCTTAGGACCGGTGATGGGAACCCAGCAGTCAGTATTTAAAAATTGCAATAAAATTTGAGTAACATTGTCAGATCTGCCAAATGATGAAAGATCTAGTGATACAACTTGCAAACATCAAATTATTTCAATTTCAAATGTCTTACCATTCAAAGCAGCCCAACTTTTAGCTCAGTACACTGTGCATAGAGCCAGTGAGCACTAGGCATTTTGCATGTTTTACAAATAAGTACACAACCTAATACCATTTATGTTTAAACAGTTAAAATTATGCACATTGTGCATTTAAAGCTGTACTAGGGACGTATACGGGAAGTGAAGAGTGGGGCAAAACATTACAAGAGGTTAATGGTAACATGTATATTTAATGTAATTAAAACAGCTTAAAGTAGAAAATCATATGCCCATAACATCATCTGTGAATTTAACATTTCATTTATCACTTTTAAGATAAGAAAGGTAGGCTAAGTGCTATCACCAGTATTGTCACCTAAAAAAAAACTAAGCCTACAGCCCAACATTAATTTTTAGTTAACAGTTGTACATCCCTATTCTGTACATAACTCTTTACAGTTCAGCTGGATATTGATTCAAACACCCTACAGGACATCTCTCCACTTTTGAAATGGGATAATGGAAATAGGAAGCCACTCTGTGCTGGACTGGACAACTTGTCTCAGCACTGCACGTATCCCATGTTTTGCCATATTAGTTACAAGGTTTAGTTTGATCTCATCTCCTATTTTTGGCCAGCTTCAACTGAAATAAGCACGAAAGACTTGGCTTGCTCGGGCTGATGAATGCAGCATTTGAAGCTATAAATAGAAATGCTGCAAATGGTGATTTATTCCATAAAATAGTGTTACTGTACAAATTATCAACTGATGCATTATGCAGACACTTGCATTAGGCTAAATGTCATTTGTTTCTTTCAATATAAAGTTTAATATTAATAAAAAGAAGATTTTATTTTTGTTGCAGAAGTACTGCACACCAAAATTTTGCATGTCTGCAAAGCTGGGAAAAATACAAATCCAACCTGCTCACAAAGTAATGAACAACCCTACTGTATGGCTCAATCAACAATGATTAGCAGAATGCTGAAGAAATCATAGAGCTGCCATTCACTACCGACTGAATACAAGTAAGAGGAAACATAAAATCTCACAGAAAGACCAGAAATCACTAAATAAATAACAGCTGAGAAATTAAGGAGGCCTAACTGGACTACTGTTAAAAATCACAGCAACTACAACAATAGCCAGCAGCACAAATCAAGGTCACTTTTTGATCCTTTTCAGATTTTTTAAAGTCAAAAAAGCTACATAGGAAGAAAAAAATTAGGTCTGACTATACGTTCTACCAGTGCATCTTGTCTGTAGTGAACTAGTTCAGCTACTTCCTTTGACTGGGGGAAAACATCACAACAAGACTGTCCTGCCACATTGTGTTTAGAAGTTTATAATGGAATTTGAATGCAAAATCAACTACTGGTTGCAAATTGTGCCAAGATTTGCACATTTTAATCAGCCACTGAAAATTCCCCACACAAAACAATTCTAGGTTATTCCAAATGACGTCAGCCACACAGTCATCAACACCCAGAACATTGTACTTATGTGGGAAGTGCCTGATTACAAAGACTTTAATTTATAATCCAACACCACAGGTAACTGTTCTGTGTGAAAGTGGAAGAAATATGACTGAGTAACTTAACTTAAGTTCTGAGCAGCTCAGGCTGGTTTTTAACCCACCAGTTACTTCTGCTTTTAATAAGGCCTCAAGAAAACATGCGGCCTAGTATTTATTTTGAGAGAGGACAAAAAGTTGATTTTACTTCTTCCCGTGAGAGAAACATGCAAAAGAGTAATAACAGAGGCAGATGGTGGATTTGCCTTCGGTGCCATCAGCAAACCTAACTACGAGCTCTGTCAGACCTTGATGGCACTTGTTTTCTTTACTCATGTATCAGTGAGAATCTCACAGGAAACATGAGGTCAGCAAGTAACCACAATTTTTTCCCTCCATGAACTGCAGTTTTGAGCCGAGGTGAAACGCTGCAAAAAGAACACAGGAAAATAAAACTGAACTGTATCGAAAACAAATCATGAGATGGATGTTCCAAAACCCATGAAACCTCAAGCAATTCTGGTTAAGCTACTTGCTCAAATGTTACTGTAACAGTAGGGTTTGCTGGCAGGCAAGCAAGTCTTTGTTTAACTGTTACAGGTGTGCCATGAACGCAGTAGACCCTACCTGATCATTAGCCCTAGCCAAAACACTGCATCTGGAGCAACAAAGCATCTGCACGTAATCTTGTGGCTGTGCTCTGCACTTTTTTTTGTTTTGTGTGTTTCTCTTATTTGCTCAGGGGGTGTACATCATCAGAAGCTTAACATCAGACAGACCTAGTTTGCTTTTTAGGTTGAAGAACTCAGACTGGGGCTTCATCGACTACTGACAGTCTAGCAGCTCCATTTGCTCCCCATCCACGTCTGAGCTGTCTGTGGTAAATTAAGTTAACCAGTCGTTTTGCTGCCTATCAAGGTAAAAATGTAACCTTAGTCAGGGAGAGCTGGCAAATTGATACCTACACACGTCGTGCAGCTGAAACCCCCCGAGTATGGCAAAAAGACAACCCTCATTTTCTCTCTAAACGCTTTTTTTAGCAAGTAACCAACATTTCTATGCAAAGTAGCCAGCTAGCTAGCTTTTCAGTCAGCTGAGCAGCCTGACATCTTGCTCGACACAAAAAAAAATATTTCCTGTGGGGGTGAGAACTTTGTACATTACACGGAACTTTCTCGAAAATAACATGCTCTAAGTCGAGGAAGGCAGCTAAGCTAGCTAGTAACGCACTACTTTACGAGCTAACATGTTAGCAGTTGAACTAGCTAATTGTCTTAGCAACTCTGCCATATTGCATCAAGTCAGAAGCCCATCACGGAGGCAGGCCACAGGGCTAAAGCTAACTCGGCTAACGGCCGCTAGCTCACGAGGCTGTAGTCGGCTTCCTCTTTGCCAGCTTCTTGTTCGAATTTCCCCGTTCCACCTTAAATGGTGCAGCAGTTACTTCCAGGCGCCCGAAGCTGCACCATTTAAGGTGGAACGGGGAAATTCGAATAAGAAGCTGACTTCAGCTTCGTCGCTAACTTAGCTCAGCTAACAGGAACGGCTGACTTGCAGCATTTAAAACCCCGAAACCCATCAGGTAACGTTACGGCCTTCAGCTTACCTTGTCCATAAGTTTCCAACATTTTTCCACGGTCTTTTTGTCCACGGCGCCGGGTTGGTGATGGGAGTGGTGGAGATGGTGGTGAGGCTGGAAGGCGTCCTTCATCATGCCGATGAGCCCACCGCCTTTCTTCAGGTTCCCTGCCATGTTTTGGCTCCACGAAGTCGGACAGAGCGACAGCTCGAGACCCTGGTGGCGAGGCGGGGGGGACCGACCACCCTCCCTCCTTCCGTGGTCAAGGGGCTAACGTTGCTCTGCCTAAAACACCCCCCGGTGAAGACAGCGCCCGAGTCGAGCCCGTGGTCGGGGGTGTTGGAGGCGGGAGAGAAAGGCTCTACCGCCGAGAGGCTCCCATTAAATCCCCGCGCCAGCTGCTGCGGACCGCGCCGTCATCGCTCTTTAACGCGGAGGAAACGAGGACAACACACACACAAATGACCGCAGACTTTTACAGTTATCGGCTTGGTCGGGAACGTCACGACTTCTCGTCAAAGCAGAAACAACTGCCTTTTTCACCGACACCCTGCGAGCACCGTTCCCTTTCTTCCTCCCCTCGACTCTCCTCTGCTCCACTGCGCTGCTCGCGGAGGGAAGTTGAGGCCAAAGCGGAGCAGAGACGCTGCAGAGCTGCACGGCGCGTCTGTGTTTACTGCACACAGTGTAAACAATCGAGAAGACAGACAACGAGGGGAAACGAAAAAATCAGAGATAAATAAATCTATTAGGGGAAATAAACGCCGCCTTCTGTGTGCCCCCCTCCCGCGTTGGTAGCAGTATTGTTCCTGTTCAGCCCCTTCCGCCTGCGCTCGCTCTCCACTCGGTGAGGAGCGGACTCGTCTCCGCCCACCCAGAACACGCCCTCCGCTCATAGAGGAGAGGAGGCCTTCAGGAGCCAGCCAGCTCACTGCCTTCACTACAAACAAAGCAAAGTATTAGAGGAGAACCTATTTTTCCAAAAATCTGCATAATTAAATGGTTGAAATGTAAACAAAGTCATTCAGAGAGGTTTGGTGTGAAACGCTTTGTTATAGAGAAACTAATCGAGTCCGATTTGTTCACAGTGGTGGTGATAGGAACCAGACGTCTGAGGAGTTTAATATTCCTTATACCTCCCTCACAAAAAGGTATTACATGGAATGGTTGTGAATACACCGCCTAATGTCCGAGGCATTGTTTTACTGTAATTTTGTGATAAAATTTTGGCTTAAACTGTGTTTAAATCTGTTCATGGCGGAGGGGTACATGTAGGGCATTGTAAGGAAAAATAGTCCCCAAAAGAAAACTTTTTTCAGATTTATGACTATTTTACCATCATCAACATTACATATAAAAACTCAGAAGACACCTGTAGGTTCACTGGAAGTTTTGTAGAGTAAATAAAATGGCTATATTTGTGTTGTAGCCATTGTGACCCCTGGTTCATATCACCACCACTGTAAAAAAATCAGTGTGTAAGATTCTCTACAATGAACCATTTCACACCAAACCACTCTGAATGACTGTGTTTGTATCTCATAGGTTCAAGTATTCAGAAATTTTGAAAAATTGGTGGAGTTTCTCGTCAAGTTTGAGAAGGTTTGATGTGAAACGTTCACTGTAGAGAAACTTATCAACTCAGATTTCTTTACAGTGGTGTTTGTTAATAGAACCGGGGGGTCTGAAGTCAACAACACACATAGAGTCATATTATTTACTCTCCAAAACGACCAGTGAACCTGCCAAGTTCTTATGTGTGATAATGTAATGTTGATAAAGGTAAAATGGATGATATTTTTTTATTTTTAAAGTCAGGTTAACTAACTGCTGCTCTGAGACAGCCTACAAAAAACAGGGGGCCTGAAAAAAAGGCTTAATATAAAATTGAGATAAAATATATTTTTATTTGTAAATTGACCAGGCAAAAAAAGCTTGCTGTGTCAATTTCATTTAATTTGTATTCCACTGCCCTTTCACGTGACATTAGTAGTTATCAGTATGGCTTATAATACTACTACTAATAATAATTTCTTGTTTTTGTGCAAAACAAATGCTAATGTAAACTTTACTTCCCGTAAACATCAGTGGATCATAGCTCAAAACAGCAGAACTGTTTGTTTTTTTTTAGAAATTCAAAAATAAAACGAATGCAGTGACGCAATATTCCTGTAACACTGCTGTTATTTTCATCTCATGGTAAGATGTGATTATGAACATGTGATTTACTCTTCTGCACTCATTTGAATGTTGAGGGTAGTGATGCATTTCTATATATCTTTAGTTTCCACTCCAGCTGAACATCATGATCTTCAGCCATCTCCTTCACACAGGTAACTGAAGATAGTACAACCAGAATACTAGCTATGTAAATTACAGTTTTAGGTCCAAAGATTTTGGAATACATTAAAATTAATTTTAAAATTCATGATTATCACAGTAAGTTGAGGGAATGATGTTGCCGAATTGTTTCAGTTGACCAGTTTGACCCTAAAACTAAATGTAGTTCAATGTAGTTCTTGTAGCCTGAGAGAGAAAAACACGTGCCCTGTATTATTATAGAACTACACATTACACACATACAAAACACCAGTCTTTATGTTTGTATTCCACTATAATAAAAGGTGTAAAGAAGAAAAAACTTTAAAGATGGTTCTTCAAGGGTTCTTTAGTGAAGCCAGTGGTTCTGTTTTGAACCATGTGTTCTCTATGGAGCTATTTCATGCTTAAATGGTTATTTGCATGGTGAAATGGGTTTTCAGATTGATGGAGACTGTGTTGTATATGGTATATATTTTGGAAAATGGTTCTATGTAGCACCAAAAAGGGTTCTGCTGTTGTTATGATATCAAGCATGTAACAATAACAGAACCCTTTTTGGTGCTACATAGAACCATTTTCAACAAGCTTCTATATAGAACCATATACAACACATTCTCCATCAATCTGAAGAACCATTTCGCCATGCAAAGGACCATTTAAACATGAAAAGAATATAGAACTAATTTTTCTAAGTAGAACCATTGCCTTTATTTAAGAACCATCTTTTTAAGTGTGTAATCTAATCTAAAAAACAATCAGGGAAGCTTCATCACTTTCCACAAATAAAGAAGAGAAAACGAAGAAAGGACTGGCTAAGCTACAGGTCGGTTGACCTGAGCAGAAGCGCAGAGAAGAGTCAGAGAAGCCTCATCCCTTTCTAGAAGTCGTGCTGTTTTAGAGCTGATCTAGAGCGCAGCTTCAAGAATGTGAGCTTTAGTCAACAGACTTCTTTACTGTCTGCTTTTCACGCGATGTGAAGCGCTTAGCAACGCTGGTACCCGCCCACAAACCGCCCCCAGCCAGTAAGATGATTCCTTAGAGGTGGCGTAGCACGGGGAACTTGGCTGGCAGGAGCGTGATTGGCTAACGCGTCGCACCCAGCGTAACCTAGCAACCGGAGCGCTCTGCTCACTTTCAACGAGCTTTTCGTGCGTTCGTGTCAGGCGACAGTCCACTTTACCACAACATGCCACCAAAGAAGCGGAAAGGAAAAGCCAAAAAGGCCAAAAAGAGCAAACCTGATCAAGGTGTTTTACTTCATTCTGTATTATTATACCCAGTTAACATCATACAGTACTCTAGTTTGGAGATATGACAGCACTGTAGCCTAAATGTAGCTCAACTGTACAAAATGACCAGAATGTTTAACTGAATGTGTTAACGGCAGTGAGTGTGATGTGAGCTAGTTTTGTGTCTGATGGCGTGGCAACCGGTTCTCGTTTCCCCTTTTTCTTACATGTAGGCAATGAACTTGCTGAGATGTATCGGAGAAGTGTTTTGGACGTGGCTGTCTTGAAAGACCACCTTGGTAAGGAAACCCACCCACCACCGTTGGGGTATAACACTTGACTTACTTAAAAATAACAGTATCAGAACTACAAAGACTTAAGTTACATGAGTCTTTTAACAATGTTTATCTGTAATTATATTCTATACAATAATATATAATTATATACACTCATTGGCCATTTTAGAAGGTATCTTCACTCATTTTATCAGGTACACTTACCATAGTGACTTTGTAGTGCAGGGGTGGGGAACTGAGGGTGGGAACTGAGCTGTTTGATGTCTAGCACACCAACCAAACCTGGCAATTAGCTGATGAGCTCAATCAAGTGTGCTTGAGAAACAGGAATCTGGCCCTCCAGGACTGGAGTTCCCCATCCCTGTTGTAGTGTCTTTGTAGTGTCTTTGGAGCCCCCCTTTCCCCTGCTCCATCAGAGGTCAGGATCTCTACAGGATCACCACTGAGCAGGTATTATTTGAGTAGTGGGTCATTCTCAGCTTTGCTGAGGGTAGTGACATGTTAGAGGGCAAAAGGGGGCAGAGAAACACACATTTCTATACATTTACAGATTATAATTTAACTACAAATGCAGCATAGCTGTAATTAGCTATGAGGACACCAAGATCTGGACCTCGGTAGTTTCAGGAGGTTTGAGATTAAATATAGAAAAAGCACCATTATAATAATGCGGTAGTCCACTCAGAGGTGCAGCCACGGTATCACAGGCCTACCCACTCAAACGGGGACAGAATATTCATTATTCTGCATTTCTGAGATTAAGGAAATTTGATTTTCTGTGAGTGCTGTCACTGTATTACGGCCAATCAAAATCTTCCAAGCCCTCGACTTACTTTCCTCAACCCTCTAATAACTGCTTAGCAACCATTGCTGTCCGCAATTACTTCAGTATGTTAGCAGCGTCTGTCATGTTCATGACTAGCGTTAGGACACCAAGATCCTCAGAAGATTCTGAAGGGTTTTACGAGACTCAATGAGGAAAAAGCGATGAAACCACAGTGAGCAGTGAAAGGTTCTCAGCTGACCTCAGAACAGCTGTGGTTCAGCCTTAGACTAAACTGCCTGTTCTCTTTATCTCTGTACAAGATGCTAGGATGTCCTGAGTATCTTTGACTTCCTGGGATGTGGGATAAATGATCTTTGTCCAGTTTAAATGGATAAATAGAGTTGCTTTGCTAAGAGATGTAAATGGACAAGTCAGAACAGACGAAAGGAAAATACACACTCTAAAAACAGACGTGTTAAAAACAACACATTCTGCCTCTGACTAGACACATCAGTGTATTTGGTTAAAGACGACACATTTTGTGTTACTTTTAACACAGAATGTGTTAAATCAGAAAACAATATGACACAAAAAATGTTAAATTGGGGAAGTCAGTGTGTTGTTATTTAACACCTCACTATTTAGAGTGCAGCAGACCTCTACATAAAAGTAAATTTGCAAGACTTTTGCTGATGTAAGCTACAAAGAAGAACCTGAAAGGGGAACATCGATTTTTCAAAATTTCTGCATAATTGAATAATTAAAATGTAAACAAACTTTGTTCTAGAGAAACTAACTGAGTCAGAATTGTTCACAGTGGAGATGACAGGAACCAGACGTCCACCTCTAAAAGCTGTTGGTTTTGAATGTTTGTGCGTGATGTATGAGACATTGTTTAACGGTAGTTTTTGATAAAGTTTTGACCTAAAATGTACTGTAATCAATGTATTTTAATCTATTCATCATGGAGGGATACATCAAGGGTGTTCTAAGGCTAAACAGTCCCCAAAAAAAAGAAGTCTTTTTTTTTGTCAGATCTACCACTATTTTACTATCATCAACATTACATATAAAAAACTCAGAAGACACATGTAGGTCCACTGGTGGTTTTGGATAGTGAATAAAATGGCTATGTTTGTGTAAAAGACATCGGGATACCTGGTTCTTATCATTACCACTGTAAATAAATCAGAATTAGCTAAATTTCTCTACAAATGAACCATTTCACATGAAACCACTCTGAATAACTATTTATATCTCAACCACTGAATTATGCAGACGCTTTGAAAAAAAATAGGTGGAATTCCCCTTTAAGTGCTAGAAGATTATGTCAGACAGGCTCTGAGATCACTGCTCAATAAAGAAAAGCACAGGATTTGACAACATTGTAATGAAAATATTTCAAGATTCTGGAGAAGATTTGGTTAATGTGCTGTCCAAATTATGCCAACAAATCTGGAAAACCGCTCAATGGCCAGCAGAGTGGAAGAGGTCAGTTTATATGCCAATTCCAAAGAAAGGAGACATGAAAGAGTGGGCACAATTTCCAGTTGCACAATTTCTCTATTATCACACATACGTAAAATTACGCTCAAGAGCATTCACCACAAACCAGAGCCTTACGCAGAAAATGAGAACTACTAGATGTGTAAATGGAATTCAGGAAAAGCAGAGAAATGAGATTCCATTGCTGATGTACGCTGGATAATTGAAAAGGCCAAGGAATTCAAAAAAGAAATCAACATGTGTTTCATTGACTACAGCAAAGCCTCTGACTGTCTTATGTAAAATTATAGAACGTCCTCAGGAAAATGACTCCACCAGAGCATTAGCATCTCATTGTTCTAAAGAGGAACCTCTGCACTGAGCAACAAGCCACAGTCATGACAGAAAATGGACGAACAGACTGGTACCACATTGGTAATGGAATACAACAAGGGTGCATACTATTACCATATATTTTTAACCTATGTACTGGACATATATTGAGAGAAACAAGAGTGAAGGGTGATGACTGAGGATTCAAGATTGGTGGAAGAAACATCAGTAACCTTAAACAGAGTTTAAAAGCTGACTATGAAGAAAACAGAGATTATAAAAATGGGAACCACTGCTAGCTTTACAATTTACAGTGAAGATGTAGATGTGATAGACAGCTTTTCCCTGCTTGGATCAATTATTAAACACAAAGGATCTCTACTTGGCAGAACCAGGATGAAGAAGCTTGAAAATATCTTTAAATGTAATGACATGTCTCTAGAAACAAAGACCAGAGTGATCCAGGCTGTGGTTTTTGTGATCCTTCACCAAATCAAGCCTCACCCCTCATTCGAAACCCACTTAACCAAACTGAAGTGCTTCTATTTTGGACATTTTAGGAGAAGAACCAATTCATTGGAAATGCCATTCATGCTTGGAGCAGCTGAAGGTAAAAGAGAAAAAGGACGGCCAGCAACAAGATTGATGGAGACAAACAGAGGAATCATGAACAAGCCATTAAAAAGCTTAACGACCCAAACAGAAGACAGGATGGAGAAACACTAGCCATATGGTCGTCAGGAGTTGGAATTGATTTGGCATTTAGCAGTAAAATAGTTTAGATGGGCAAAGTTGGGAAACGTCTAAATTGCCTGAGGATATTAAGTGATTTAAAACCTAATGGGAAAACCTTTGCTCATGTACGATCTGAAGGCCGTATGATTGTTTATAGAATATTAACTGGGCAAGGAGGGTGATAGTGGCTACATGGGTCATGTGAAAAGTCTCAAACACTTCAAAGGTTTTTTGTGGTTCTTCATCATGCAGTGGACAGTGACCTAAGTACCCAGGTAACAGGCCCCATGAACTAGCCCTGCAGTCTAGTATCATCTGTTTGGTACAGCATTCAGCATGCCTCACACACAGTGTGCTGTAATAACAGGACAAAACAGGCTACTACTTTTGAAGCTCATAAAATGAACAGAATCATATGCGGTATTGCTATTCTCATAAGCGCTCAATGCTTATCGCTTAGCTCTGAAGACGGAAGCGGCACGGCAGGCAATGTCAGTGAGAGATGATTTGAAGTGCCAGATAAGAGACTTGAAGCAGGTGCTTTCTCAAGAGAAACTAGACACCAAGGATATCACTGCAGGTCTGTAACTTTTATCCTTCAAATATTGTTTTTCTAAATACTTATCTATCTGCTTCTGGCCTGTATGGATTAGCGAATCAGACTGTAGCCTGGCTATGCCTAAATAATCTTTTTGTACACCATTTAAGGTATTTTTTTCTTTTTTTCTTCTTTGCCTTTCTCATCAGATCTCAACCGTCAGTATAAATCCTTACAAATGGACCTGGAAGCTAAAGTGAAACAGCTAGAATCCAGTGTGTCAGTGCTTCAGAAACAGCTTGGTGAGTCCAGCTATTGACACAAACAATATTCTAAACAATGAATCCTCTTTTTATATCACTCTTATGCTGTCGGAAAAAAATGTATTGTCGAGGAAAACTTAATGTCCCCCAAACTACAAGCAATGTAAATGCACCTTCAAAGATACAACATGGTCCTTATGGGGGAATTCCACCCATTTTTCACAATTTCTGCATAATGCATATACTGAGTCATTGAGAGTGGTTTGATGTGAAATAGTTTATTTGTAGAGACAGTTACGGTGTTGGTGATAGGGGTTGCGATAGGGGTAGCCATTTTATTTTACTATACAAAATGACCAGTGAACTTACATGTGTCTTCAATGTTTTTTATGTATTGTTGACAATGGTAAAATCGTTTTTTTTGGCCACTATTTTTCCTTACAACACCCTGCATCTATCTGTAGACCATTAATGGATTTAAAGAAATACATTGTAACCCAAAAGCTTATGTCAAAACTATCATAAAACAATGTCTCAGAGTTCAGGCAGCATATTGATAAGCATTTAATTCTGTGAGGAAATCATTAAATTGTTTACATCTTCGCCACTATATTATGGAGAACTTTTGTAAATTTGGTGAAATTCCCCTTTAAGGTCCAATAGTGTACCTTAATGGAGTTTTAAAGGTACACTACATTCACTTTCCCAGGGGACAAAGCATATAGCTTTTGGTGATGTAACATTTTAGGTATTAAAATAAATACTTGAATAATAAAAAGCTTGAAGTCAAGACAGGGTGTATAGAGTCAGTGCAACATAAAAAAACTGCAATGGATTATGGTACAATTCTGTTTTTACTACTACCCTTGAAAAAAAGGGTTATATATAGTAACAAAAAAGCTCTTCGACTTGAAACAACAAGAAACAAAGTTCTTTAAAGAACCACTTACAACAGTTTTCCTATCACTGTCATGGTCCTATATATAACTGTTGCCTTTACTAAAGAACCCTTGAAGATCCCCTTTTTAAGGGCGCAGATGTAGAATGTGGAACTAATATGATATGTCTTATTACCAAAGGCACATAAGAGTAAATGCAATTAAAACAGTGAGTCATCGTTATACTGTCTGTTCTACAGTATCATACCAGAGCTATACCACAGCCCTCAAATGTTAATCCCTCAAAGTATGTGAATGTGACTTTAATGAAGACACCCTTAAAGGGCTGATATCCGATGTTTGTGTGGGTTTATGTACCAGAAACAGCCATAATTTATTTTTACATGACCATCTTCCAACCTCTGATTGTTCCTTACATTTAAAGGAATAGTTCAGTTAGACAGTTAGACAAATTAAAAATACATAATTTGCCATGCAGTCAATGAGCCAAGACATATTTGGCATCCAAGTGTTTTGCTTCTTTAGTTTTGCTTCTTTAGTTTAGAACTGGGCTGATAGGCTAATGGTGCTAACACTGGAAGTAAATAATCACCAAAACTATCCAGTTTAAGCACACTGACAGAAGTTTTGGGCATGTATTTATGGAAACAATTAGGGTGACTATTGACATGTAGTATTTGTTAGCAATGTTAGCTGTGTAGCTCTAATTCTAAACTGTTTTGGTTGATTGACGATGTTCAGGGGAAGTGGAAAATCATTCAAATTTGATTTTTTGCTAAACTATTCTTTTAACCAGCTTGTTTTTATTACTGTGCCTTTAAGTCGGACATAAGTTCATGATCTCTGTTTTGATTGGCTGTCTTGTATTGTGCCTTATTCAAAAAGCAGTCCCGGCTGAAACAGTGCTTATAATTTGACCATAAATGGCAGAGGCCAAACTGCTGCAGGCAGAGTAGACCTGTTCATTTTTGTGACATCAAAAAAAAAAAACAATTAATTCACAAAACAAGCTGTTTTTGCAGCTTTGTTTACACACGTGGATGATTAGGACTGGGGTGTGAATGGTATGTTTTACATCATTTTCACAATGTGGGCACTTTAAGTCTGCAAAAACTGTAAGAAGTACAGTATCAGATGGTTAGGTCACCAGGCTACTTCAGTTTATGGGCTATGGTCAGCAGCAGGCCTTGTGGTAGCCCTTAACAAGCTAGTGATTAAGGGAGACATGAAAAGGTACTTAGTGCTCCTTTAAGACCCTTCTTGACTGTTCAGTACATGTCCTGTACAGCACAGTCCATTAAATAATCCTCTGTTCCAAACAGCTAGTGCTCTAACTGTACTGTGTTTGATTAGATCAGTGTCAAGGTGATTTAAAGACAGAAAGAGAGCGGCGAGAGCAAATGGAGGAGGAAAAAGAGGCCCAGATCGCTGACCTGCAAAGCAAGCTGGACAGTATGGAGACGGAATATGAGAAAATCCTACATGTAAGTTAACACGGGCAAACATCAGAGCACCAACGCAGGGTAAAGAGCGGAATCACTGAAGAATTACTGTATTCTGAGCTTCTGTTTGAAAGTCTTGATGGATGATGTATTTTAAATCTATTATTTTCCTACAGCACACCTTCCACTGTTACTCAGTGGAATGTCAAACTCAAAGAAATAATGATCTCCCCCACTGACATAACATATAACTGACATAATGGTATGACATTGTCAAAATGATTGACAGCCACATTATTCATCTTAGCGGTCCAGAAGCACAGTTTTATGCATCTTTTGTTGTACTTGGTATTGAAACGAAGACATACGAAAAAGCACTGTTCTCTTTTATGAGCACCTACCAATTATTTTCATTGACTTTTACAGGGCTGTTTGGACAGTTTGCTCTCACATTTAGCTGAGGCTCGGAGGCAGTGGGAGGATGAGAGCTTGGTTATTCATCAAGAGTTCAAGGACATGCTCACTGAGCTTGGGTTAAACCCACTATACATATGAGGCAGACAATGTTGGAAAAATGTCAGAATTGAAAATAACACTACACTGTTAGAAATAAAGTTTCTGTGCAGGTACATTTTTCATTCATCAGGGTACAAACAATGTAAATGTTCCCTCAAAGGTACAACAGTGGTTTTAAGGTCCAACTGTGCACCTTAAATAAGTTTTTCCAGGTAAAAAAGTGTATATTTGTACCTTTTCATAATCTAATGTTTTAAAACAGAACAATGAAATAAACTGGAGATGAGACGGGGTGTGTGGAGTCAGTACAACTTAGAAAATATCATTTCAGTGGATTATGGTACAGTTATGTTCCCTGACTAAAGGTACTGATATGTACCCTTGAGGTTACCACCCCAGTGACAAGAGGGGTACTGCCCCAGTGACAGTTTAGTACCTTTATTTCAGCTTAAATTAATGGTTGAGATGTAAAGAAAGTCATCAGAGTGCTTTGATGTGAAATGGTGCATTTTAGAGAAACTTATGGACTCTTTACAGTGGTGGCGATAGGAACCAGGGGTCTCAATGTCTACAACACAAAAACACTGCACATAAAACTCAGAACACACGTGTAGGTTCACTGGTGAAGTTTGATAGTTAATAAAATGCCTGTATTTGTGTTGTAGACATTGAGACCACTGGTTCCTGTTATGACCACTGTAAAGAAATGCCTTTAATAGCTACATCACAGAAGGTTACTCTATGAAATGTTAATGAATACTCTGCTTGATACCTTTGACATTGTGTTATGATACTTTTGTAAAAAGGCTTCAGCCTAAAACATTTTTTTTAAACACGTGTATGATGGAGAGGTACTTTTAGGGCTTTTGAGGCAAAATAGTCCCCAGAGAAAACTTATTTTTTAAAGTTTTACCATTATTTTACCATCATCAACTGTACATGTAAATAATAACAACTTTTTCTTTCTTTACTTAATAATAGTAATATCTTTTAGTTACAGAGCACTTTCCATATTGGTGGCAGCTCAAAGACGTGTGCAGGTCCATCTGTGGTTCTGGAAAGCAATTAAAATGGCTATATGTGTGTTGTAGACCTCTGGTTACTATCACTACCACTGTAAAGAAATCAGAGTCTGTAAGTTTCTCTACCATGAACCATTTCACAGCAAATACCTCTTTATGACTTTAAAATCAGTGGAATTCATCTTTAATGACTTTGTGTTCATCTTGATGATTGAATTAGACAGCAATTTTGAAAAATCTATGGAGTTTTTTTTTTAAATAGAACCTGATAGACACGCCATTTATATGTATTTTTTTTTTTAAGTCTTCTAATAGGCTTCCATGTTTACCTTTCCAAAATAAAGTATTTTGGAATCATTAAAAGGCTTTTGGAATCATTAAAAAGCCCATTTGTATTGTTAGGAGGTACTGCAAGTGCTCAAGTACAGTTACTCATAATCTGTAATTATGATATTAATATTGTCACAACAGTTTAACATCCTTTCTAGCATCTTTGGTGCGCTCGTCATCCAGGCCAGTAACTTCAGTGCCTTAAGAGTTTCAATGTCAGGCAACTCTGACACGAAAGTATGATACAGAATATCTGCAGTGTGGTTATTGTTGACACCAGTGCTGTGACGCAAAGTTGAAGAAACAGTCTGTTAAATATATATTAACTGGCAGACAGCACCATCATGAGAAAGCTGTATGGTATAATCATTGGTGATGTTTTATTAATTTTATCTTATGCAACCTTTAGAAATGTCATGTTTGATCAGTAGATTAGTAATGCCGGCTTAAGTAGCTATTTTAGATGGATGTGACTGGTGAAAAGCAGCAGAGTTTAAGTAAAACTGTCCGGCGATTAAAAAGATGATCAGTACATAGTATGGGCAGGTGATGTTTAGCTTTATCAGCCTGTTTAATTCATTGTAGTGTGATGTATATGTATCTGTGTATATATTTTTATATATTCATTATTTTAAATGTTTTGTAGTATATTTTGTATGTTCTGCAAAATTCAATCTTTGGATTGCAAGTCAGGATGTTTTGTAAATAAACTAAACTAAACTAAACTACATGGGCCTCCGAACAGGCATCATAAGTATGCCCCAATTTCCAAAAAACGCTGTGCAAAATGTAAATAAAAACAAAATGCAATGACACACTAACCCTGGTGCAGATCATTTAACCCCTATATTTCATTAAAAAATAGTAAAAAGACAATATATCAAATGTTGAAACTGAGAAATGTATTGTTTTTTGAACAATATATGCCCATTTTGAATTTGATGCCATCAACACGTTCCAAAAAAGTTGGTACAGGGGCAACAAAAGGCTGGTAAAGTTGTGTAATGCTAAAATAAAAAAAAACACCTGGTTGCTGATTGGCAACAGGTCAGTAACATGATTGGGTATAAAAAAGCATCTCAGAGAGGCTGAGTCTTTTAGAAGGAAAGATGGGGACGAGTTCACCACTCTGTGAAAGACTGCATGATCAAATAGCGCAGCAATTCAAGAATAACATTTCTCAACATAAAATAGCAAAGAACCTTTGCTTTTCATCATCTACAGTACATAATAACATTAAAAGATTCAGAGCATCTGGCAAAATCTCTGTATGTAAGGTACAAGGCCAAAAAACAGCATTTGCTGGCTGTGATCTTTGGGCCCTCTGACAGCACTGCATTAAGAACAGAAATGATTTTGTAGTGGAAATCACTGCATGGGCTCAGAAAAACTTCTGAAAACCACTGTCTATGAAAACAGTTAGTTGCTGCATCCACAAATCCTAGTTAAAACTCTACCATGCAAAGAAGAAAACGTATATAAACAGGATCCAGACACGCCGCCGCCTTTTCTGGGCCCGAGCTCATTTAAAATAGACTGAGGGGAAGTGGAGAAGTGTGTTATTACCGCACAGTTCAAAAGCCAGTATTCATGATGGTATAGGGGTGCATTAGTGCACATAGCATGGGTGACGTGCACATCTGTAAAGGCACTATTAATGCTGAATGATATATACATGTTTTGGCAACATATGCTGCCATCCAGACGATGCCTTTAAAGGGAAGGCCTTGTTTATTTCAGCAAGACAATGTCAAACCACATTCTGCATGTATTACAGCAGCATGGCTCCATTATAAAATGAAAAATACGACAAAGGAGACCCTGAACTGATGAGCAGCTGAAATCAATCAAGAATGGAAAAACATTTCACTTTAAAACTACAGCAGTTGGTCTCCTCAGTTTCCAAATGGTTAAAGAGTGTTGTTAAAAGAAGAGGTGATGAAACACAGTGGTAAACAGGCCCCCATCCCAACTTTTTTGGAACGTGTTGTTGCCATCAAATTCAAAATGGGCATATATTTTTCAAAAAACAATAAAATTTCCCAGTTTCCACATTTGATATGTTGTCTTTGTAGTATTTTCCTTCAAAAATATGGTTTACATGAGCTGCACATCATTGCATTCTATTTTTATTTACATTCTGCACAGCATCCTAACTTTTTTGGAAATGGGGTTGTAAAAATTGGAATGAGTAATGTTGATGCTTAGCCTTAATCTCCAGTCCAGAATGTTCTGCCTCTTGGAAGTGCAGATCAGTTCGAAGCCTGTAGGTGTCTCTGTTGGTTTACTTTTATTTCCCATATCTTTGTTCCATTATTTTGAATAACTGCTAATAAAAAGTTACATAAAAAGCTGAACCCTCCTTTCGTTGTTGTTTATTGTCAGCACATTTAAAGACATGCAAAAAGCTCACAAATGTTCATGTGCCAGTTTTCACACTTGTTAAGGCACTAGTGAAATGTAATTTACTAATTTCTAAAGAGTGCCAGCTGTCTGGATGAGAAAAAAGAAACACATGCTCCTCACACACACGGTGGAATACAGTACATTTCATTTTGCCTATGGATCAACTTCTAACAACCTCTAACTCTAAAACTACAGACAAAACCTAAGCTGCAGTCCAGGTGGGTTGCATTACTAGATGCCTGCATCATCGAAAGCTGTTCCAATCAGAAGGATCCTTTAAGTAAAACCGAGAAATCCAGTCTACATTCAGACAATTTTACTTTGCCTATGCTGAGCTGAAGATCATGTTCAAGAGAATTGTCACTGCATCCCCAGAATTCATGTTCAAATGTAAATCTGTATAAGCCAGTGTTTCTCAACCTTGGTCCTGGAGGCCTGCTGCCCTGCACAGTTTGTACCTTTCCTGCTTCAACACACCCACTTTGACCCAATGATGGGTTGTTAAAGAGCTCATAAAATAGATCAGGTGTGTTGTAAACAGGTAAAACAATAATAAGTGTAGGGCAGTGGGCCTACAGGACAAGGGCTGAGGAACACTGGCATAATCCAACAGCATGTACATTTTGAAGTTAGTTTAGCTTCATTTTCGCATGAAGGGCTAACAATACTGAGCCCATTAGAGTCAAATGATAATGATTAAAGTGCTATGCAGACTGTACCACATGTTTAAAAAAAGGCCAGTAAACTATACAGTAAAATATAAACAGTGTGTGGCATGTATTCATTCTGTTTATGTACATAAAATACGCAGTACGCTGTTTCTTAGGTTTTCTGTTTAAGAGGGCGTAAATTGAATGCAGCATTTAGTTAGCATTTAATTACAAACAAATGAATCTTTTGCTTGCCAGCTCACTATTATTTACATCAACACTATTTTCTCAGTTATAATTTCAGTTTGCGAGCCGACTGCTTTCCGACGACATGACAGAGTAGACCATTTAGTTTTGCATTATATAATACAAAACAGGAGCCTCCATAGTACAGTGCTACTGAGGACCTACCTCTCTCAGCTACAGCCTAGCTTTTGATACACAGCTTACATGCAGCTCATGAAGAGCTTTGTAATTACCTGATGAGCAGAATCAGGTGTGTTTAAAAATGTAGAATGCTAAACTCTGCAGTGCTGTGACACCCCTGGACTGGACGTTTTTCAGACAGTACAGGCAGAGGACATGGACTCTAACTCCAGCACACCTCTTTGAAAATTTAGTTTAAGAACACTGATAAAAATAAGGGTTCCTAAGTGGACGTTTCAGTCCAATCAAGCAGGAGCTCACCCTATTCCACTTGCCTAATCAGTTGTTCTGTCTTCAAATATGCAGACTAGTTATATGAGGTGAGCTTCAGG